ACCACCATCATCACCACCTTCACCTGCACCATCACCACCACTATCACCACCACCGCCGCCACCACCACCTCAACCACCATCATCACCACCTTCACCTGCACCATCACCACCACTATCACCATCATCACCACCATCACCTCTCTCTGGAGCCCACTGCGTCCAGATCTCTAGATCTTCTGCTTCTACACCTCCAGACCGTAGACTTACCATTAGACACACTGTTTGGGGTCTCTTGCCGGGATAATCGTGTTGTAGGGCATCCCGTCCCTCCAACAAGAAATGGATAGAAATTGCCACGGCAATTCCAACAATGTCAACTCAATTAATTCCTCCTCAGCCAGGCAAAACCTAAAGTTCTTGACTTTTGAGGCAAATTCTACAACAGACCCACTGTCAGCCGTTGGTCAATGCGTGGTCTCAAGAAGGGGGAGGCACAATACTGCACCAAGTTCAAGAAGACATCCAAGTTCACTCCGAGCCGCGGAATTTGACTCAACCCCGGTGTCCACGGAGCAGAACCAACAAATCTACGGACAACAATAAACACAAAACCATGAAAGTGATGCACTGCTCATGCACTCACCTAGACTGGTTTTTTTCGTCGGATGTAGATCGATCGATCGATCGATCCGTCTGAAACGGAGACGTTCATCACCGGGCCAAGGGACCATTGTAGGAGACGCTCATCACCGCTTCAAAAGGGATGGAGGCCACCGCCGCAGCCTCCTCTTCACTGCGCTTCAGGGCGGCCTGAAGTAGAACGAAAGCGGAGGAATGGAAGCGGTTGTTTTTGGTAGAAAGAAACAATATTGTAGTATAATACTGTATTGTTGTTTAATTAATTATAACATTGTGATTGGTATCCAGAGTTATTAATGTAGTTTGACTCTGTTTGACTTCTATTGTGTTCCATCGAGATAGATTTCATACAACCACAGTTAAAAAACATAAACGACATAAACGTGTGTGTTGTCTTTCATGTTCGTTGTCCATGTTTTTCCCGACTTCAAGAAGCATCCGAAAGAAGTGACTGGTCTTCCAAACCAAAAAAACGGCAAACCGCTTCACCGAAGGGCCTTTGTCCACGGAAAACAACTTACTTTTTTTTAAAACAACGCCTTAGCCCCAAATTCCAATCACTTAGGGACAAAACACCACCCCTTTGTGACTCCTGGTTCTTTTGCATGTTTCTTCCAAACGGCTTTGCAAAACCAAAACGCCTTCGCCCTGGCGACGGACAGCGCGTTGGTGCGACGGACGGACCGACGGTCCCTCTGGACCCACCTGCAGATCCGGCACCTGAGACGAAGGACGACCGGCTGGGGAGTGAATCCAGTGAGAGATTGTAGCTATCCACACCTAGAACTTGCTCAATGCTATACTGTTCAATGCTATACTGGATCAGCAAGTTCCAGGTCTCACAAGCTTTACACACCTAGAACTTGCTGGGTCTTCCAAACCAATTCCCCAGTGTTGTGCTGGACTTCCAGTGTTGTGCTGGATCCGAACTTCGATCCATGAAGTCGTGCCGGTGAGTCGTACGGAAACAACGAACACCCTCGATTGGACGATCTGCTGAAATGGTTCCGCGGAATGTGTCGATCTGGTGGTGGACCTATCCGGCTGAAACTTGGGATGCACAGTTCTCTTCTACTTGGGCAATTGCTTTCTAGGGATGGTCTCCACAAAGGACTTTCCAATGGGACTTTCAAGCCGCAGAGGATGAGCTCAAGACTAAGGCCTCTCAGCCTCTAAAGAGACCGTAAAAACCATGTAAAGCCTGGAGTTCCGGAAGGTGTTCTGTGAAACAGCGGAGCGGGGGAAGCTCCTTCATGCTCCTTCCTTCAGTTTGATTCCTGGCGCAGTAAACAAACAGGACAAACCAGCCACTCGCGTTGGGCGAGCCATGCAGACAAGTGGAGAGCCTCCAAGAAAAAAGAACAAACGAAGCTTTCCAGTGGGGTGCCCCAGATCCTTGACGAAGTTCACCTATAATATAAACATGGTTGGTTGCTCTTTATCAACCGGATGAACTACAGCAAACATCAGCATGCAATTCACACCTTCCCCTACCCTAGCATACCCTCCTTCTCCCTCAGATACTGAACCACCGGCATACGCCAAGGCACCCATTGGTTGGCCTTCTTCTTCCCCGTGACGCTCTTCTTGCCGCCCTGGGTCCAGGCCACAAACCTCGCTCGAAAAAACCCGCGGATGTGTCAAGGTCATCTTTCATGGAAATCCAATCGAAGATCTTTTTCCATCCGGGGTTCTCTTGAAATGGCAAACCAAGCTTTAGACTCAGTTGACTCCCAAAAATCACCACCTGGAGTATCCTGGAGCGGTTTGGGAGTGGATCGGGAGCAGAAACTTCAGCAGGTGAGGTCGGGAGTGGATCACCCCGAAACGACGCTGTTCACCGACCACCCGGGCAGCTAATAGGGAACTGCATATCACCGAAGGGCAATCCTTCCACCATCCTTTGTTCTTGCAGATCGATACACATGAAATACACATGCTGAAAAAACACATATATAAAGGTTCTATATACTCAGAAGGGCTCCTGGCCCATATCCTCAGGTTCGGTGGTTAGACCCCAAAAAATCCACCCCAACAAGCCCTAGGGATACAGTATATGGTTCTATGTATATATATACATATGTCATCATATGTTCATTACTAGCACTAGCACAGAAATCGATCGCAGACTAGCCGCTTGAACAACTACCAGTCCAACGGGAAAAGACTAACGCAGGCAGACCCCAAACTCCAACCAAATAGCTTCCAACATCTTCCAACCTAGAAGCGATGGCCTCCAACTCCAACCTACTAGCGATAGCCTCCACCCAGTTAGTTTCAGTTCTCAACTGCGCCATGCCGAATGGTCTGCAGGACGATCCGCTGGAAGTTTGAGTCTGGAGTCTGGGGTTCAACCGAGTCTGGAGTCTGGAAGATGATCCGTTGGATCTCTACACTTCTTGAAACGAAGTGGAATCTAAGCAGGAAGACCCGTATTTCCTCTTTTTTCAGGATGGTGTGCTCAGCTTCCATTGTCTGAGGGAAGATACAAGGTACGAGTAATATACTGTGATCCATAGGGATCCCCAAATAGATAGAAACATATAGAAACGGTTTCCAATACATTTTTAGTGGGGATCTACATTTCTATCTATTTGGGGTTCTCTATATATGGCTCAAAATAGCGAAACCAAGACCCACCAAAACCCACAATCGAAACCAGGCTGATGCCATTGAGCGGCTCATTGTAGTCGATGGCCCCATCGTTGTTGGTATCCACCTGGTGGCGAAGACGAGGATCTGTCTGGTCATCTCGAGTCGTACCCCCAGGACGAATGACTGGACCCTGGCACCCACCCCAGTCCCAACCGAAACGAAGGTACGACAGGGTCGCCCAAACGGGATATATAACGTGAATCCAGGGCACCCGCCCGGAACTCTAAGGAACTCCAGGGCCGTTTTTTCGGTCCCCGCTTCGACTTCGGTTCGAGCTGGAAACCACAGCAAAGCCTTTCAACAAAAAACGGCGTCGTCTTACTAAGTACACTTACTAAATAACCTGTTGAATAACGCCAGAATCGTTGGACTCAGTTGAATGTGGATGATCTAACGGGTATTACTAAGTCTGTGGGCCTCCCTTAAGATCTTCCCGATCTCCGCCACGGTGATGTCCTTGTTGATCCTGGCGGCTTCGCCCCGGTGTTCGCGAGGATCCGGTTCGCTGATCCTGGATGAAGCGGTTCCGCTGAAGTCCTTCGGATAGACTCTGACGTGGATGGCACGGGCCCGTTAAGGAAGTTCCTTTACACAATTTTACAAAGAGGTGATTTTCCACTTCCATGTGAATGAGTCCGAGTGTAGACCTAAGCTTATTGAAGGATGTTGATAGGGGTCAGTACGACATTCATGCTCATTTTCAAGCTGACCTGGCCTTCCGTTAAAAGCAATAACCAGACCCTTCAGCCATCACCTTGTCAGTTGGACCAGTTGTGGGCTTTCCACAAAGCTTGGGAAGTTGGACCAGCCGGTGTATGTAGAAAGGATCCAAGGCTCAAAAAGGAGCTTGCCCTAGGGCTCCAACCACCTCCGTTTCGAAGGTGGTTGGGGTGGATTTTTGGGGTCTAACCACCGAACCTGAGGATATGGGCCAGGAGCCCTAGGGTTGGTCAGGTTGATGCCTTCAGTTTCTCGTGAAAAAAGTCCACTGACTGGGGTGGGCATAGCGTCTCAGCTCGAATCGGTGTGTGGAGGAGTTGGAGTGCCACAGTACTAGCCACAGTTTGCATTCAGTGCTTGTTTCCACTGCCTTTGTTCATCTGGTCAAAGGAGCAAGACCAGCTCAATGGAGACCAGCGGGTCCAGACCTGCAGCCTCCTGGGGTCCAAATCCTCCGACCGAACTGGCCCGACCAGGTGAGCACGTTCTGGAGCTCTGTGACGGAGATCCTGCGCTGGTGGAAGGAGCGTCAGCTGAAGGGGCTGCTGTTTCAGGATCCAAACATATCCAAACCAAATGCCTTTCAAGGCCTTTGAACGAAGGCCATGGGACAAGGTCTCTTGAATATGTTTAACAACAACACATAAACACACAGCCAGAAACAAGCCCAGTGAGCGACATAAATCGCATGCCGGGCACCCCAAAAATCCCTCAACTTCTTGGAAGTCCTCTTCGACATGGGAGATGAGACAGACCACCCACCTCTCAGCGAGAAGTAAAAACCGCTCGGAGGTGGAGGAGGTAAACGTACGCAAACACGTTTGCACCGTTTCCCTGGAACCCGAGAGGGGGCACCTCCGACTGCTCCTGCTCTTGCACTCTGGGCTGAGTGACCGAGACCCATGTCTTCGCGAGCGCTCGAGGGTACAACTGAAAAGCTTTGCTTAGTACGAGTATCCCGCAAGCTGATTGTAAGCCAGCGTTCTCAGGAGCTCAGTCAGATGTCTGCACGGTGCAAACTGCACAAGTACTTTTCTTTAGCTCGAGGATGCTTTACATCATACTGGAAAGATCTGGAAAGTGAAATGGTCTCAAGCTTGGCTTCGTACAAGTGGTACAAGACAGTCTCTCCAGCGGTCCGCCTTCGGCCTTCCTCCTCTCTCTGGCCCCTCCTGCTCGCCCTCTGCAGCTACCTACCTGTTCGTCCGTAAGCCTCAGCTCCTCCTTTGCGGCCTTCCTGTTTCAGAACGCACTTTGCTTTCAAGAAGATTTCTCCTCCCAAGATCCCCCAAGACCATTCCCCCTGCCGGTACAGATTCAAGGGTAGCGGGTATAGCACAAATGTCCGGTTGAGAGGGCAAACTGTCTAAACCGATCATACCTCATTGCCGCTACCTCATCGCAAACCCGTCCTGCCATTGCCATCCTTGTCGAAGCGTTTGAAGAGCTCCTGCGACGAGGTCGCTGGTGTTTCCAGTGTTTCCAAAGACTCAAGCCAAAACCAGGACTCCCCTTTTGGGGGGGCCTGGTCTAGTGGCTTCCATCGATAGCCCCAAAAAGAGTCTGTGTGTGTGCGTTCTTGTTCTTTTACCATGAAGGTTACCCCAACCGTGGGTCCTGGTAGAAACCCTGGTGGAAACACTCATGGTTCCAATTATTTTTTTACGTGGGATCTACTGGGTCCGGAATTTGGATTCAGCCAAGGAGCGTTGTGACGAAAGCGCGGTTTCACGGTCGGATTCCCCCAACCAAACACGCATGAAACCTGACCCCGAAGCCAGAAATCCCTAGAATCTATACAGGTTAACGACGGTTAACCAAAGTATCCACCGGTTGTTGGATTTTCAGTGGGGAAACAAATCCCCCAAAAATGGTTATCCACTTTTCCTGGGTGGGAAGCCCCCCCAATCGACCCTGCTTCCTCCACAGTTGGTTCATTTAGAGATGGAACTGCTGGACTGGCCGTACTCCGGACAGGAAGGAGACTCTTTCAAAGTACAGCAAAGGCCACAGTCCACAGTGTCTTGTATAATAAAGAACTAAAACGCGACGTGTTCGAGTCTGGGTGAATAACGCCAACAAAAAGCATGTATATACAGCAGCAAAACACAAATAACACCATGTCACGTCTTATAAAGTGAACGTGCTATAATGTGTCTTATAAAAAGATGTGTCTTATGACACAAAATTACAAAGTGAAACATGTGCAGCAGGCCTTGAGATTCTTGCTTGCTTCTCACGGAAAAAATGCCGAACCTGATGCTCCCCAGCGGGCCTGTATCTGGGTAGCTGACATGACCGCTGCGGGCGGTTCGCGAACTACGGGAGATGGTTGAAGTTTGCAGTAGTCCGGGGGCTCCAATATCGAGCAGAATGACAACGCTTATAGGTGATTGTTTGTATGTTAGTGGGCTAAAAGCCGGTGATTCGTTTGGTGCCCTTTTCGGTGATCAAGACAAGCACGGACAAATGTATCCAAATGCACAAGTCAAGTGAGTCAGCTGGGACGTCTTCAAATAAGTTCAAGTCATCCTCAAAGTCTTCTTAATCGGTCCACCTGTTTTGCATCGCCCACTGCAGCTGATCTGCGAGTACCAGTTTCACCACAGCCAAAGCGGCTGCAAGCACGGCAAAACGGATCAAGGAAGCCAGGATTGCAGCGTTGAGCAGGCCTACCACGGCCTGCGTAGTTGGGGTAAATCTCATCTGGTTGGTGATGTCAGCTCGCTTGGAAAAAAGAACACACATGAAAGGCCCGTGGCAATGGGATGGAACAACTCATCTATAAGTAGGACGTGTATCTCGAAGGACGTTTTTCCTCCGCACCGACCAGTCTCGACGGTGTCGCTTGGGTGTCGGTGCCCATGACCCGAAAAGCGGTCAGCGTCATGGTGGGCATCACCAAAGAATGTGTTGCCTCAAGCATGGGAACTGTTGAAAGGGGCTCAAAACAAAGTGGATGTGGATGATGAAAGGGGTGAACAACAACTTACAATCAAGAATGTGTTGCCTCTTGTTTTGAATGCTGAGGCAAAGGTAATGAGCCTGGGAACAAGCCTTAGCTTAGTCCTTGGTAGTACCCTCGCCCGCTGTGGAAGTGGAAGCCGCCACATGGAACTCTAGCCAAGCCGGTTTGGCCAAACCGTTGGTCACTGACTCACTGGTTTGGCCATTTCCGTCCGCCATTGGATACAAGAGATGAATTGGCAACGGAATCTCATCCCCCCCAAGTCTTTTTCATATTTGTTCTTACTCTGCTTTGTATATTCATGGTTCACAAGGATCGTCAACAAATCTGTATTCAAACCTTTTAAGAAAATAGCCCCCCAGGCTGAACTCTGCTCCTGCAATGGAATTCCGAACCGCGAACCTGGGGATGAATGGCTCGGCAGGTCCTTTTTTATTCGGCGGAGCAACTCATCTCTGAATTCAAGGACAAGACTCTGAACGTTATATAGATCTCTATTTCTTTGCAAAGGACAAAACACCTTCTTCTGCAACTCATCCCAACAAGAACTCTCTATCCGTCTATATGACCAAGTCATATGCACATACTGACCCCCGACGCGTTTCCCTCAAACATAGAGGTTAACCGGACTTTCTACCTTTTGGGCTTCTACTAGTCTGGGGCAACCAACCAGTGCATTTGAAGGTTTTGCAGGTGATCCATCCACTTTTCCTGGGGTAGGTCTACGCATCCAGTTTTCGGGTATTTCAATTCAATTGCCTTCCCCCTTCCTCCCCTTCCATCGGATCGACGGCTCCTGACGCCCGGTCCACCCGTCCATTTTCACCTCTCACGCGGGGTCGGGAGCACGCGGGGTCGGGACCGTGCTGTGGATCCACTGGAGTGCTCGTTGAGGAGTGCTGGCGAGTGTTTGGGCCTGGAGGGCAGGGGGGATGGAGGTGAAACAAGCGGGAAGAAGAAGAAAAGCACTCTTGTGAATCTCATCGCAGTGACAGTCCCAAGATCCTTGAAGTGATTTGGTCAACAGCTCAAAAAGAAGAGATGAGAAGGTGACTATAGACATACAATACAGGGGGACTGCACTAGACAGAGAATTTTCAATTTCATTCATTTGATCTTTATCACTCACGTGGAACACAACATCGTGATTTATAAGGCTGGCTCCAAGTCTAGTATTCATTCACCCCCATATTGAGGAAGACAAAGGATGAGGGCACCAGTAGCCACCGAGGGTCTTGTTCGCTTTCGCCCTCAAACGGAAGTCACTTCGACGTTGCCCTGGGATCCCGGACAGTGCTGTGGCCAGCCTTTCAATCGACACGAGCGAATCTGTCAGCAACATGGCACCAAACAGAATGGAACTCCCCAAAAGCGTCTCAGTCTCAGTATAGCTGCTACACAAATCATACTCAGATTTAACACATGACTACGCCATGGCCCATGGCCATCCCAAGTGCCCAACTTCCGGTCGCTGGCCCCGCCGCGTCGCACGACCTCGCCTCGACGGCCAGGAGAGCTGCGCGACGACCGAAGCGAAGGGTCTTCTCCTGGCGCGGCAGCGTCGGCGTCTCGGTGCGGACCGGTGAGGTCTGACATGGGACCGGTTAGGTGCTTTTCTATGGGTTTTGGGATGGGTTTGGGGATGGTTGTGGGACATCTGGGAGAAGGAAGCGAGGACTGCCAGGACCGCCTGCGACCCAACTGTGGCCGGCCAGGTACTGTGAAATGAGTTTGGGCAAAGGAAGCTGGACAGTTTTGAGCTCATCGAAAAGAACAATAAGAACATCCAGGGCATCCATCCAGGCGTTCTTTGGGCTGGATTGTTTCACGTCTCTTTCTGGGCTGAAACCTCCTCTCACTCTCTGTGGCCTTGAGAGCAAGGACCCAGGGCTCGTGGCTGAAGCTTTGGAACCTCAGCAAGGAGAGAAACCACGAGGATATGATTCCACTGACTTCCTGCGGAAAAAAAAATACCAAGGACCTACCAGTTCAGGACCAAGTTCCCCAAACCCCAGCGGAATTCCTCCCAAAGTTAAATACATGTCAACATATCATCTGCTTGAAATCTCGCCCCCATCATTCATGCAACGAAACCAAGCTGAATACCTGCATGCGCCCAGTGTTTCCTTGGACGAGCGGTTGAAACTCGACCTGGAAATACGCCGAGGACCCGGAGGTCCCGTCGAGAACATGACCTCGAAATGGAACGGTCCCTGTCTCACCCTGTCTTTGAGCCGATTGAAATCGGTCTGAGTGTGGTTCCTTGACGAAAACAAACAAAACTCTTTTTTACAGTGACAACTAGTGTTGATTCATTGTCTTGCACACCTGAAGTACTTGAAGACTCAAAATACTGGTATAGTATGCTGTGATCAAATGAGTTCGGATCTCCAACAAATCCCTTGTTTTCTTCATTGGATGTCTGGTATACGCTGGGTAAATTCAATCTCTTGCTACATATTGAATATTCTAGTAAAAAGAAGCTACTAGGAACAAGTGCATCGCTTCTAGTAACAAGTGCCTTACTAGTAGTAACAAGAAGCTATTAGTTGATTTAACTTTCTTTCTCTGCTCTGGCCGTTTAGATCCTGAACTCATAAAGGTCCACCCCAAAGGTCCACCGTCCTCGGCCGGTCTCCGCTGGGCACGGTTGATTCACTATGTTTCGCTCGGTTTCCTCGGACAAAAAAAACAAAGGTTAACGTGTTCTTTTCATCCTTTTCCTCGCGTTGTGTCGAGTCGTCGTGGGAAAGCCAAGCCCCCCCCCAAAAAGGTTGGACAACCTGCTCGTGGGCCACACTAAGGGCTCGAGCCGCTTCTTCCAAAGCTCCCAGAGTTGCGGCATCTGTGGTTCTCGCAGCTCCTTAGCGAGGGCGAGCGTGGCGAGCGAGGCTTGTCCAAAACACCAGGGGAAATGGTCAAGTGTAGTCTATGTGGCTTTGGAGACTTGAGGTAGTGTTATTTTTTTGTGGAGGGCTGATTCTTATGAGTTTCTTCTTGCGAGCTTAACACCACTTAGATTTACACACAAGTGGCTGGCTGTGGTTCAGCATTTTTATGGGCCACAAGAGTGGCATGATGGTTTGCAGGGTCACCCAAGTCAATGCCATGCCGTAGGGTCGTGGGCGCCTCGCCCATCGCTGCATGGCCGCAGTGTTTCGGTTCCGGGGCACATGGACCACCGGGACCGCCCAGAGGCCACTGCGGCAAAACATTGAAGTTCATTGCGGGTCGGCCATGGTTGTGACAACAATATCTTGATAGATGACTCATGGACTCCCCCGGCCGGCCACGACCTCTTTATTCCTTGAGACTGATTAGTTTCCCTGGCCGGAAGCTGTAGCCATAAAAACCACTTGTTGTTAGATGACGAGTGGATCCTTTATGGCCACAGCCTCTTGAAGCAAGCCTCAACTGTAGCACAATCGTTGAAAAGGGATCACATTCAGGAACGCCATCTCTTAGCCACAGTGCTTTCTTTTCTCCACAAAGAGTTCACAACTCCTGTCCTGCTGAAGCATCCCAGCCGCATGTTGCTGACAGACTCCTGCCTCAGAGTCGCCGATCGGAGAAGAGCAGGGCAGCCCGAGCACATTGTATCCGTCCTTGACGGAACATTCACTCCATGCACAACTTGTGCGGACCTCTCCGCGCACCACTTGTGAGAAAACCGAAGCCTCTGGTCTTCATGGCTGCCCCACTCAAGCGTCCAAATGAGGACCAAGCACTTGTGGCATTGTCCTTTTCGTCCCCCCTGCAAAGGCATGCAAACTTGGCCACGAGATGCCACGAGACACAGCTCCTATCACTGTGACCACCATGTTCCTTTCGGCGGAACCCCTCGCCGCCCTGTTCCAGCCGGCAGATCTCAGTGGGTTTTCCGTTGAAGTGGTTCTGAGTCAACCGGCGGAACTTCTCCAACTGCTCCAACCGGGTCTCATGGTCGGATCTGATCCAGAACGCGCGCCGAAACAAACCGAAACAAACGGAAGTACAATAGCAAGTTAGTGCAAGAGTTGCTAATTCATCGCGCAAAAAAACACGTTATGCCACTCAATATATGATTTCCAAGATTCAACATGTTACAACTCAGTTTCTGACCAGCCTTTCGCCGCCATATGTCACCATGTTCCATTCTTGACCCCAAATAGGCTGATGAGCATCACGCAACATGAACATAACAAAGGTCTCAACTTGGTTCCCCAACGCCCACACAAACGTTCCAACACACGCATAAAAGACTTCCGATCTCCCTTTCCGCTTGGCCAAAGGTTCAAAGACATTGTCATGCAAAGCTTATTGGTGGAAGCATTGCGTTTCTGTTTGGACTTTTCAGTGCTTAGCCCAAATATGGACGACAGAAAGAGCCGGGGGGTCCACTACAACTGGAAGGATGCGTGGT